AATTTCGGGACCAGTCTCAGAAATTCGGTTAACCCGCATTCTTGTACCTAAATCTTACAGGCGTTTCCATTTCTCTTTACAATCCTCTCTTATTAAAGGCGGCGGCAGCTTTTGTTGTGCGCTTTTCTTCTTTAAATACATAAAGAAGTAAATATATGAATATTATTTATGATAGATATGTATATATCCACGACTGTAGAGGCTTTTGCTCTTCTCAAAGATGTTTAAACGGACATTTTCATTTGATTTATGTGTAGAAAAGTTCATTCATTCAGTTGGTATTTTTGTCACTTATGCATAAATTATAATTGGATCGCATTCAATTTCTGTTCCGATTGGCGATACGTATATATGTATGTCTGTATATATACTCGTTGCAGCTGTGGCTGTAACTGAAGAATAGCAGCGCATTGTTTATAAGATTTGAAAAGAAAAACGCTTTGACTTAATGCCGACAACTATTTTATTTAGCTATTTATAGATGTTCATCTACTTACATATAAATATGTATGTAGATATGTGTGTATATGCGTAGGTACATATGTCTATGCATGCGCATTTCAAGCTAATTGTTTGTTTATCTAAGGGAAAAAACCAAATGGCATGAAATGTTTTGACATGCCGCGAATAATTTTCCGCATTACCATTGAACTTTTGGCTCAATCGAAGATTTTGTATACCATACAAACAAAATTGAATTAATTTGCAATATTTTACTATCAGTACTTTATATATATAAAGAGAGAGCGAGATAGGGATAGAGATGTTCAACTCATGCGTCTTGGGTGCTTGATAAGTAAGATTCATAATTATATAGCAGTTTTTTATATAGGTCAACAGTTTTGAGATCTAACAACGCAATTTTCCCAACGAAATTATAAATATTCTCAAATATTAATATGGGAAATATAAAACTGACACAATTATCTCAATATATGTACATATACATATGTATGTATCAAACGAAGTATTGAAAGGAATGAAGAAAAAAAAGTTGCATTTGTTTATAAACAAAGCGTGGCGATATGCCAGTTGACATAGTTGAGACTCAATTTCAGGGCACGAGCTCAATGCCATTTTCGTTGGGTCAGTTCTGCTGTCAACATATACCTACACACATATATACATATATATTTATGTATATATATATACCATATTATTTTGCAGAGTTTGATTTTTTTTACAACGCGCAAAGCAACTGCGTCAACAGAATCAAAGCATTTGGTGTACAAGGTCTGCACTGTTTTTTATGTTATCGATAATATTTTTATCTAGGCTGCTTAAAAAACAGGTGAAAAATGCTATAAATAAATATAACAAATATTTATATACCATTTTAATTGTAGTTGCCTCAGCCCACACGTGTGCCGCATTATATCACTTTTTCACATAGAGTTCGCTAGAAGTACCATAAAGCCCCTGCCAAGCACGTCGAATGCATTTTAATGCGATGTCAATGACAATTTTCCTCTATTAGACGTTCGCAACTTAAATAAATATAAGATAAGATTTCTATGGCTTTAATAGCCTTAGTTAAGTGCTTGTTTTTTTTATGGCAGGTTAATCAACTGTTGTCCATGCCAATTGAAAACATAGCCCACAAAATGCCTATAAAATATAAAATAAAATTTAAAAGTACAATTTAAATAATAAAAAATCTTTAAATCAACAAAAATAATCTTGTCAGAAGTGGGATTCGAACCCACGCCTACAGAGTAGACTGCGACCTGAACGCAGCGCCTTAGACCACTCGGCCATCCTGACTGTTGTTGGCTCGCTGGCAAAAGCAGCATAGAAAGTAGCCGTGGCTGCCACTGCTATCGGACAGTTGAACATTTCATTTCCATATCAATAAATATTTATTTATTTTTTTGCGAGTTTCTTTTTACGAACAATTTAAATCGTTAGCCGAAGGTTGACAAAATCAGTGTCCGACTGCCAATGCTTAGAGATCGTAGATGTGCAGCAGAGCTCTCAAGAGTTCGAACAGAAATAAACGGGTGGTTGCACGATCTTTGTAGGTCTTCAGGTGGGCCCGAATCACCTGCTCGAACAGATCTAGACGCTCCATGGTGCAGAGGCGTAAATTGACCAGAAACCGGGACTGCAGCAGATCCTTGGCCAAGTTGTGAAAGTCTTCAACAAACAGTTTCAGCACGGGATCCTCCTTGGCATTGGCCACGTCTCGATGTTTTTGAAAAATTTCGTGGATGTTACTCTGCTGGATGTTGCCCTGCATAATCTCGAGCCAGGCCAGCTGAACGTACGGATTGTGTATCTGTGACTGTCGCAGCACATTGGTCTCGCGTATAAATGGATAAGTGGTGTATATCTTGGACGTTGTCTCCGATTCGGAAAAGAGTTTGAGTACGTTTTTGTTGATGGGATTGTCGCGACACAGAACAAATTTGAGCTTGAAACTGGTCAGCAGCGGGATCTCCGCCGATATCAGATTGGCCAACAGATCGCACATGAACTGGCTCAGGTGCTCCATTTTGGTATCCTCAATCACATTCATGTACAACACATAGTAGAACTGATGCATGACGCCACACAGGCAGCACAGGACGGTGCTGTACTTGAAGTTCAACGGATAGATATCGAAGCAAAGGAAGCACTCGTTGTCCACAGGATCCGGCCGGGCCCGCTTCATGATCTGTGCGGTGCGCTTCACATATTTGTTCATGATGTGCTTGCTCTCGAGCGGCTCGTTCTTAAACAAGGCATTGCAGCGCTCCTGATCCTCCGCTGTCAGTTCCATAAATGATTGAATATTTTTCAACTGAATACGTTCTGTAGCCATGGCTATAATTATCACATGCAGGCAATGTTCAGGCCAAAAATAAAGATAAATAAGTTAGATTAATACAAAGCACGAAGAGCCTGCTATAATCTGAATTACTTGATGTACATATTTACATAGCAAAGGGTATTACTTACATATGTACTCCGACTTCGAACCTGAACTTGACCCACAGCGCGAATCGTTGCTGATAAATGGCAAATGGCAATGGCAAATTGGCAACGAAATTGAATGGATTTGCGCTTAATCATTTATCAAGTGCCCAATTGACACGCACCGTCAATATCCATAATTGCTAAACTGTGTGCCCAGCTAATCTCTGTGATTAATGTTTGCGTTTTGACTTCTATTTTGTTTTTCGTTTTATTTGAAGACTTAAATGTACCGGTTCTCAGACTTCTCAGCGTTCTCGCGTTTCTCGCTGCTCGCCTCATTTGCATAATTGCAATTTATTGTAAATCCGTGTGCAAATATGCCAGAAATTTTCAGCTAAGACGCTGTGTAAGGCAATGTTTGAGCCGCCAAAGGCCGACGGCTTTTCACAAATCACATTTCAGTCGCATATGCAAAAGATTTGCAAACTCATTAAATATCGTCCGTCTATCTAATGTGTATTCTGTATAATTCTGTGGGCCAAGTGTCGCACAGGCCATGTCTCTGTCACACTTGACAATCGACTCAGACACTATCCATCATCTGTGGCAATCGCTTGACATTCAATCAGTGCAGCCAGCTGACATCGTTGCTAATTAGATGTCAGTTCGCATCGATTGATTTCGTTACTATGCGATGCAACTCTGATTGACAAGCAAAACTAATTGAATTGAATATCTAATTGAAACTCGAGCAAGTTAAAGAATTGAACTGGAAAGGTTATAGGAGAACTAGCTCTAAATTTGAAATGGACTGAGTAATTAATAGAGATGTAGCTGCATAGACGGCGAGAGGAAGCTGAAACTTGGAGAGAGAAGGAATGACCTTTCAAAGAAATGTCTTCAATTTATAGCGACTAATAATAGCAGAGAATGATCGGAAGAACGTGGGTAATAGACGTTGAAAACGGAAGGATAAACTCATAGTGAGAGTTGATCGTTAGGTAAGCAATAGTCAAGATTTTTCATATATAAACCAAGTTATTCAATAATCTAGGCTGGCACACATTCTCTCTCACACACACTCGTACATTCCTTATGAGTTCCTACGATACCTTTAATTTCTAGATTTTTCGAGGTCAGTTGAGTCAGTTCTTTGTGATCGACCGACGCACTTTTACATATAAGCAGAGGCAATAAGATTCATTTACGATTCTCAGTATTTCTACAATTAAAACTAAAATGGTTTTCTCTCTCTTCCCCTCTCTATGTATGTATACATATATATTACAGATTAAACACGCCATTTAATGCCATATGGACTATTATGGCAGCTCCCACGCAAGTCACGAAAATTGAGCAACGCGACGCGATTTCTCAGTGCCAGAATCTGAGACATTATCTCTTCGTCTCTGTCTCTGTCTACCCCAAGCAATTCGCGTCCAAATTAAAGCCGACCACGTAAAGCTCAAGTTCAAACCGACGGCAATCGAAACAATAAAAGCTAAAGAACATTAAAATACCAGCAACCAAGTCAACAGCAACAATAAATTAAGCGTGTGCTAACAAAAACAACAAAGCAACGCTGACAAATCAACAACAATAACAAATCAACAAAAAAGGTGTTGGCTGCATTTTGTTGTCGCCTTCGTTGGCTGCCACACAAAGTGGGTCAGACAGCGAGACAGTCGGACGGGCGGACAGTGGGACTCTGGCAGAGCCATCGAAGACGCCGCTGACAGCAAGGGGCACGTCCCAAGGCAGCATGCATCAATCGCTGGGTAACTCAAGAAAATTCGACAAATTGCGTGGCGAGCTGTAAGCGATTCGCGTATCTTGTTATTGTTTATCTACATACATATATTGTTTATAGATAATTCAGTGATTTTGTTGTTATTGTTTGTGTAATTATGCAACGGCTGCAGTGAGGCGTTGAATGAAAAGCCCGCAGCAGTAATAACAATAACAACTCGTAAAACAATAATAATACAAATTCAACACGAATTCATTGATAAATACGAAAAATATCGCGCATACGCCGCGCTCTCCCGCAACACCCACTCGTGCTCTCTCGTGGTCGCGCTCTCTTACTGTTACTCTCGCTCTCGATCGTAAACAAAATGAACTCACCACAGCTTGTCAATACAGCTGCGCAAGCTCACCACAGCAACAGCAGCAACGCCAGCAGTGGCAGCAGCAACAACAACAACAGCTCAGCACAAACGGCGTCCGCAAATAAATTTGCGCCTGCACGTAGGCTAGCAGCGCGTCAGACTCTGCGCCTGGCCATACCCAAGCAACAGGGTGATTCAGTTACACTGCCCCATGCCCAGACGAGCAACATTTATCGGCACTCGCCATCTCAGCTGCCGCCGGCGCCGCTGCTCAAGCGTCACACATCTGTGACGGCAGCTGGCAATTGCAGCAGTGGGAGCAATAACAGTTTTATTCCCAAATCCGCATCGCCGCTGGAGTCGCACAAGCTGCCAAATGTCACGCCCACTTGCACATCCAGCCCGCTGATATACAATGGGACCGGTGGCAGTGGCAGTGCCTCCTCCATCGCCAGCAACTCAAATTTCCTGGGCGTACGTAAACCAAGTCTAACTCTCAACTCATCGGACATACGTAACAACAATGATTTGTTTGCTTTTGCCAAGGATATGTCGCCGGCATTGGAGCTGAGTGGTAAGTCCTGCTCTTATAAAATATGTTGTGTCTCTATTAAGTTTGCTACTCCACAGATCACTCGCACTCACATTCTCACTCACCTATGTTCTCGGATATAAGCACTGCCATATCGCCAGCAAATAGCAATGGCTCTCCTACACATCATCAGCTGGGCAGACTCTTCAGCCTGAGTCCTTCCAGTATGAGAAGTTACGGAAATGTAAGTAGAAGTTTAAATATAAGTTTATGTAGGTATAAGAAAAATAATGAGTATAAGAGATTGTATATGTGCATGAAAGAGTGGAAGTAAAAGCGTGTGCATAAGTAATTGTATGTGGTATATTTGTATAAGTACAAGTAACAATGTAAGTCTAAGTAGATGTAAAAATATTAGTAGAAGAGTAGACATGCATTGAATTATAGCTTAATTATAAGAGAGAAAGTTTTACTTCCTCATTTCAAACTTCCATTCCCACATGAGCCTCGCTCAACTCACTTACAACTGTAATAAGTAAAACTCACCACGCCTAATGACTATTAATAGACGCTGCCCAAAGGTCAGTCAAAGTACAATCCCTTTGCTCACTCTTCTCGTTTGGCACGCACATTGCTTAATTTTGCATTTGACCCACAGCCCAAAAAAGCTTTACACAAACACAAACAGAAGTCCAATCGTCATTTCGTCCCATATATTTAACCATTTATAAAGCTCACACCTCACGCGACTACACCAGAAAAGAGGCGCGGAGTTAAAGGCGACAGAGAGAATGATGAAGAGAGAGAGGTGGGAGGGGTGTGGCTGATGACACTCCCAGTTGAGTTCGTGAAACCGGCTGCCGAGGTAAATAGGCAGAAAATAGCGTCAACTTAATTAATAACTAATATTTAGCACGTTTTAAATGGGAGAGGAGCACGGTAAAGAAACTTAAACAGAGAATCGGGAAGAGAAACGCCTAACGATGAGCTTACCAGATTTGCTGCTGCCTGGGCAGTTATTAGTTGTTTATATATACATATATACACACATATACACATATAGATGTATACATTTGTGTATGTGTGTATATATGTATTTAGCGTATGCAAACGTTATGGCTAAATGAATAATCGGCATTCGTTGGACTTGGATTTTGATTTTTTAGTATGGCTCGTGCGTCGCCGTCATAGCCCCCCAGTGTGCCCTACACTTTGGGGTGCTATTGATTCTACAGATGCACCTGCACTTCATATATAGATTAGTGTTCGAGTGTGAATCACTCAGCAGCGTGAGTGTACCTTAGACTGTAGATTACAAATAATTACTGATAATACATACAAGACGGCAACATTTTAATTAAAAGTCATACCCATGATGACCCATATACGAAGCGTATAAGACGAATTTGATAATGAGGAATACGCATCGGCACACTGTATTACCTTAGATAACTAGAATTATCATATAAAGGATCTCAATGGAGTTGTCATAGATATTGGTAATACGAATACTTTTACAATTGAGTGTACTATATAATTGCCTTGGATCTCCTCTTTCGTTTGCCGGAAAGGAGAGTTAAGGACTTTCCATGGATATTGCTCACTTTTATATTTTCATATCTTTACTCTTAGACTCTGCACTGTAGAGTATTCGGTATTCGTTCTAGCTCTTTCACTAATAAGCTTTTTAACACCTTGTTGTGTGTTGTTTTTGTGTTCTTTGAAAACTATTTGACAAGCTCTTCAGCTGAGGCGAAACGTGAGCGTGAGTGACTCTTGCCGTTTTGGCCAAAGTTAGGCGTGTTGTGTATAGCCACAGGTACCTACAGGTAGTACCCATGCATAGAGTATATAGCCAGCTCTGGGCATATTAATGCGCTGGCTAGCTGGCTAGCTGGCTGGCTGGCTAGCGAGGTATACGAAGTGTACGAGCTTCAACCGGTATAGAGCAAGTAAGAGGAAAAAAATCGATTAGTACGCGAACAAATGTTCGGGCAAAAGGAAGTTTTCGCTGTTGAAATACAAACAAAGTTGCGCTGTCGCTGTCGATGACGCCGAGTCTTATATACTATATATGTATATATATATTTTTTTGTTTTCTTTTTGGGCATTATAAAGCGCACATACCATACAAATAAACAAACATACACACTGATATAAACACACACATGTACCGAGAAAGAGAGACAGAGAGAGAGAGAGAGACGTTTTTGTGTAGCATTTTGTGGTTTTTGAAAGAATTCCATTTTCAGTATTTGCCGAATTGAGATGCGCGCCGGTTGCCTCTGTTCAGTATAAAAAGATATATATATATATGTGTGTGTGTGACATCTATATATTGGTATAATCGTATCAATGTAACGCTATTCACTATTCAGCTAATTCTATGTGTCGATTCTCTGCGCTTTGTTGAGCTTATCACTCGATTCGTTGTGCCGGTATAAGCCTGTAGCATGGGCAACCGTTTGAGTGGTTTGTGGTGTAAAAAGACAGCAACATTACAAATCAACAACGAAACCAAACAACAGCAGCAACAACAACAACAACAACAACAACGGCAACAAAGTGAAATAGCTGGTGATAATAGCATTGCTAAGAACAACAAATCAAATCGAAAGAAATCGAGTGGTGCTGCTGCTGGTGGTGTTGGCGGTGCAGGTGCAGGTGCAGGTGCTGGCACCTTTCGCTTTGGCAGCGCACGTCGCTTATCGCTAACTAGCTGCGTCTCCAAAGATAAAAAGACAGCGCTCAAGGCAACAACAAACTCCCAAATATCAACGGTTGAACAACAATATCAAGAGCTGCTGCAAAACAATTCAGCTTCACAGCCCGTCGACTCTCAGGCCGAGTCCAAGTCCGTTCAGACTGCCGCCATGAAGGTTAATGCTCAATTGCCCACTGTCAAGGTGAGTTCAACCACAATCCCAACCCGAATCGGCAACATGGCCAAGCACTGCCTCCCCCCACCCCCCTTGGCTAAATTTACAATTCGTTGCGCCCCAAAAGTACATGAATAATTATTGCTAGAGCTTCAATGTAACATGACGAAGTTGGTATACCCTTACGAGTGAATGCTGAAGAGTCGGGGAAATATATATAATAGACAAATTGGCAAGTGATGCTTACAAATGTTGAGTTTCTTTTAGGGATGTTTTAAAAGAGAAATGGTTAATTTTTTAATGGAGTTTATATGTTAAATTTAAGTTTGAATATCTATAAACTATTTATTTTATATGCTTGAAAAAACTCTGAAATCGACCTGAGCCAAGTGCTAGTTGTCATATGGAGTTTTTTTTAGATATATGTACCTATATACATATGTATCTTTATAATTCCATAACATGATGTCGTTAGAAAAAAAATTTCGAATCTCAATATACCTTGAAACCCGAAAACATTCCCGTGTGAAATTTGTGGTAAGTCTGGATCAGTTTAAAAGTTATATAACATTTTGATTCGATTTAGAACAGATTTTGGGCATATATTCATAATGGAACACGACGTAAGCTTTGCTAATGTCGTTTGGCTATAACAGAAGAGAATGACAAAGAATATGAGCCAAGTAATATACAAATATGTATATTACTTATACAACGTATCACCCAAAACTGGTAGTAACCTCTAGAAGGGTATAGAGACAGCAATCAAAACAAAACCAACCAAGTAACAACAATTATGTCATTTGCTGTTGCTTCTGGTTTGCAGGTTTCTCTCTCTCTCTCTCTCTCTCCCTCTCTCTCTCTCTCTCTCCATCTCTTAGTAATACTAAAGCAATAATCTGTTATTCGATTGCATGTTTCTCTCGTGACGTAGTTCAGGTTCAGGGTCATATTTTGTTTATTTGTGAAGATCGTTTGGATTGTGGGTGGGAGGGGGCGTCTAGCTGGTTGGTGGGGACTCTGGGTCTATGTCATTAGCATGACACAGAGTCGGAAATGTGACTTGCTGTAAAGGCGGATGCTTATTAACAATTGCTGTTATGAAGCCCTGAGTATCAGGTGTGAAACTATATTCATTAGGCGCCCAAGCTTAGTCATTGAGCTGGGCTTAGAGCTGAAGATTAATGGCAAATGACAATAAATAGATATTGTAATTTAGTTGTGTGTGTCAAAGAGCACTAATCGACTAGGGATTATAAATCATCTGTAAAATATGCGGGAAAAATAGGAAATAGTTAAACTAGCTAGGAATTAGTATTAATCATAAATGCTGATTTGTAAAAATTAAATTGAAATGAATTTGTTAGCTTGATTTGCCTTAAAAATATGATCTTTCGCATTATAAATATTAATTTTAATCTGTCTGCTTCACACAACTCCCCAATTAAGTGGTATCAATTAATTACGCCTTATCAATATCGTATCGAATCTTATCTTCGAATTTTCTACACGTTTCTTCTGTCAAATTGTATTTCTGGAATTCCGAGTCATGACCCAAATTTCAGCTGGAACGCATAAATCATACTGAGGTAAAAACGAAACGTGTTAAGCACGCTTCGCATATAAAAACTTGGTAAGATTCGCTCAGGCAGCAGCAGGAGGCGGGGAAATGCATCAACATCAATTACGCATGAAAATTCAACGAAAAAAGTGGGGAGAATATGCTGAAGAAGAAGAGGATGAGGAATGCACTCGAAATACCAATGAAGAGGAGCCAATGGGCGCGTCTTCTGCCGGCTCTCACGACTCGCGCAGCTAAATTATTGTATCTGAACTGACCCTAAGCTAGGCTCGAAGACGACGCCAATGCGACTGCCGACTGCCGACTGCCGGCTCGGCGCTGTTAGAAGAGCGTGGAAAGCCCCTGTGAGTCAGCGCGCAAACCTTTCGTTGGCCCCGAGCCTCGCATTGAATGCAACACATGTTTTGTGATTGGGGCTTGATATAGACGCGCGTGGCGATGACTCAGCCGGCAATGGGACCCAACTTGAAGTTAGCCGAAAGTCAGTCATTCATGTCTATAGAAGCCACAACAGATACAGATACAATTTGTAATTGAAGAGAAACAGCAGCAGCGGCAGCAGCAACTAGATGAATCAGCAGCTGGATCTGCTTATATTTGGGAATTAATTGTGGAGCATCAGGCGAACCATTTGTTTATGCTAATCGCTTGTCGAAAATTGGGCTAGTGGCAAGTGGACGAAGAGCTGCTGCTGCTGCTGCTGACACATTTGTGACTAATTTGCCAGCTCTGCAAGGCGGATGCTGCTGTTGGCCTGATTTCGGCTGAAAAATACACATAAAAAGAAAATGAAAGTATCTGACAGATTATGATAAATTAGCACAGGTATTTTTATTTATTTATTTTTTAATTTTTTTTTTCGACTTGGCAAATTGCATAACAAATTGTTTAATTAGGTTTGATTATGAATAAATCTGCTTCCTATAACTCAATTAAATGCAGCACATTAGCCACGCCAACTGATTCAACTGACCTTCTCCACTCGCTCAGTTCAACAGCCAAATGTATCTGACAGATACAGATACTTTGTGCTGTGGGTGGCGCCAGTTCATGGCAGCGCTGCTTTTTTGTAATCAACGCCAGACGCATAAACAAAAAAATTCAAAATACAAATTTGAAATGGTTTAACTAACATAGACATTTGTTGTTTTTGCATACTTTGGTGTTTCCTGGAAACATTAAAGTTCTTTCAGCTCTTTCAGCTGCCAAAAACTGCGCACTGAAATCTTTCATAAACAAAAACCAACAAAAATCGCATATTTCGTCCAACTAATTAAAGGCAAGAAAAAAGGAGAAGAACAAAATCGAAAGAAAGAAAAACAAATTTGGCGCACGTGTTCGCTCACAAATACATTTCAATTCAATTCATTTCAATTTAATTCAATTGTTTTCAATCATCTGCTTCAACCTGAGCCAACGTCCATTTGGCCGTCAACAGCAGTCAACGCGTTTGTTTATTTGCTTGGCGTAAATACAAATCAAATAATGTTAGCCAAAGGCGCAAGGTAAACTAATGAACGAATATTGTTTATATTAAAGTCTCATTTTCGGATTAAATATGATGCAGACAAGCAAAGGTAATGTTTTCCTTTAATGAAATGCAATTTGAATTTTCAAATTACAAACTCAACACTAAACGCATTATGAGTATTGAGCTGTATTCACCACACCAAAGTGCAGTGAAAAGTCAAAGAGTAGAGAAGCTGCCTAGAGCAAGTGAGCGAGCAATATTTGGCGCGCACTCACCACAGCTCAATCCGTTTCGCTCGCACGCACGCTCAGTGCGTCTCTCTGCATGGCTGCGCTGCTGGCTTGCAGTCGTCGCGAGAGTCTCAAATCTTTCGGGGTTTCAGTCTTGTGTCGACCACGCAACAGTTCAGTACGCGAATGCGGATATCGAAGACAACGACGCGGTTAACTAAATAATCACAGATATTAAAACAAAAAGAATATATATTAAGAGTATAGCTAAAAGTATTTAATATTATTGTGAAATGTTGAGAATGCGCCCAAGCGCGCACTTAAATCAAAATTCAAGTGTAAAAGTGCGTAAAGTCAAGCGAAATTTTTCAATGATAAAGCGAACATAAATCAAGCGACAACACGAAAATAAATTTGGAATTTATAAATAAAACCCACAAATTTCCGAGAAACAGCTCGTTTTATTTTGTTTGCTGTAACGTGCACAGAAAAATGTGCGAATGAAATTTAAAAATACCAACATCTTTATTTTGAGTTAGTCTAAATTTACATAATACATAATTCGATGTTTCTAGAGAATGAAAAACCAGTTTATTAGAAAAAAAAAACAACACAAAAACAAAATTTGAACGGAAAATCCAATTGCGTAGGTTGTTGAAATCAATTAGAGGACGCCCAAGTTGAAGTTGTAAAACGCGTTTATTAGCTAACCCAAAGATATACAGAAAGGCAACAGAAGAGTAGAAGAGGGGGGCGGTGTGTGTGCTTAACGGTTAATACGTCGCATTTGGCCAAGCGGAAATTCAATTAGCCAGCTTGAAGCTTGCACTGCGCGACGACAATGCAAACGGAAGTGAGCAACACCAACACCAACAACAACAACTCCAATAACTACCCAACATACACGTGGGCTGAGTGTGTGGGCGTGTCAACTGAACTTGAGCCCACATATGGCTAGGCTTGGGTGATTGTGGTGTCAAGGCACCATCTAGATGTCATAATCAGAGCTAGTTTTTTATGGCATTGTGTAGCTGCTGCTGCTGCTGCCGCTGCCGCTGCTGGCAGAGACATTTGTCAACTGACAGCAGCTGAAATGCAAAAACCAGTTATCTGGGCCTTTCTCATTGTTTGCATCTCTCCATCTCTCTCTAACTCGCTCGCTCTCTCGTTCCCATTGTTGTGCACACACACATTTTTTCGGTTAACGGTTCTGTTGTGGAGCAGCCCGAAAAGAGAGTGAGGAAGAAGATGAATATAACCAGATGCCAGCCATAATTGTTTATAACAAAAACTTTTGGCATACACAAAAGCTTCGCATTATCAATGAATTCTGGGGAAATTGCCAATTGTTCTGTTTATTAATTAATGCAAATGAAATTTATTTTGTTTTTGTTGTTTTTCTCTCTATTTTTGGCGTAGAAAATGCAAAAATGTTAACGAACCCAGAAACAAAGTGATTCGAAAAAGAGCAGTAGGAAAAAATAAAAGAGTTTAAAAATCTGACATAATCAAAACAGGCGAACTGTTCCCAGTTCCAGTGTACCAAAAGGTGTTAACCAGTGTTCCAAAACTACTTAAAAGCCAATTATGGTTGTGACGACAACGCGCAGTCCGCTGCTCACGCAGACGCAGCCCAAAGGTTCGGCCACAAATGGCAGCAGTCATACAGCCGCAATGCGTTCCCGTTTAATATTTCCCAGGCAACATTATCAGGTAAACACCTACCCCGCACACTAGATTGTATTGTATATGTACGTACGTAGTATATCTGTAAGAGAATTGAGAGATTAGAGGAGCGCCAAGGGGGCTCAGCGTGTTGCTCGAAAGAAAATGAAATAAAACATCGTTCATTAACCCCGAGGCGCCGCTGTAAATGACCAAAGCAGACGACGACGGAGACGGCGACGTCGCCTAATGGTTCCAGCTCTGTCCAGTCTAGTGCGAGTGAAAGGCAGACCAAAAAAAGAATATCTCACATAAACAGACGTTTATACATATTTGTTTGTATATGTATTTCATGCATGTGTTCTTTATGAGCATTACGAGGTCCAATTGTGTGCGTGCGACGTTTTGACCCTTGGCCAGGCGCACCAGCTAATAAACTCTGCTGACAACAACAACAAGGCGTATTGCACTTCACATTGTTGCCGCTACTGAAGAATGTGCAACAGCCCTAGATCATGCATTTGAGTTAATATTTAGTGTGCGGCTAAACTAGATTATAAAGTGGCAAGCCGCTGTTAAATTGAAGCATTTGCAGTCTCAGTTCTTGTGGAATACGTAAATGAAAGCAATTTAAGATAGATCCTGCGATATTTATTGTTGTTTTATTCTTCGACTTAGCCCAAGACTTAAAACTAGAAATCTAATGAAATGTTAACTTGATATTTTAAAATTGCACAAATATTTCACATTTTACTTAACATTATTACGAGCTCTATGCACTTGATTTTAAATTTGCAGTCATCAGTTATATGGTAACTGAACTTGGAAGAATCTGAGAAATTGTCGATTTTGTGACATTTAGCATGTGGCTTTTAAACTAAATCGTTAATTGGCTAACACCTGCCATGTCAAAGTGTTATTTGTAGCATATACTAATTCGTGGAATTCGCTGGAAATCAATTAGAGACTTTTCACTTATACAACTCTATCGAGAAAGAAGAAATTTTGCTTTAAGTTAACTTGCTTGTAAATTTACAAGATCATTTCATATTAGCTCGCTGAAGTCAAGAAAGTTAGTAATTTGTATATATGTATGAAACATCTATAGAAATCCAAGATATTTCGCAATTGTATTTAAATTGACCCTGGATCTATAGATATTTTGAAAAGCCGCTAGTGTATAAACGCCATCAAATTACAATTATTGCAAGGTTTATCCTGCAGTTAAAAAATTGATAATCTAGTTTTGCTGTGCAATTGCAGCGGCAGCTGCTGCCAAAGCGTTTGTTAATAGCGCGTGTACCGAATGTTAATCATTCTAGCTTAATTATTTAACTGAAACGCATTTTAATTAGCTTATTATATATATGTATATATAGATTGTGTTCAAAAATCTTGCTTTTGCTAACCTGATTCACACAATTTACGTAAAGTTTTGGATTTCGATTTGCATAGAATTAAAACCATAAAAATAGACGGCATCCAATAAATTGTTAATGTTATTCTGTTTATAATCAATATCATGAGATTTGGTTCTTTTCTTGGCCCCCTCGAAGCGCTGTGGATAGTGCGTCAACTGCAGCTGCCTCTCTCTTTCGGTCTCTCTCTCTCTCTCTCTCTCTTCCTCTTTCTAAGTAGTTCC